TCCAAAACTTAATTACATCTGCAGAGACTCTGTTTTCAAATAAGGTCACATTCACAGGTACTGGATAGAACTTGGACAGGTCTTTGGGGGGGGGAGGGCGCTATTCAACTTCCTGCAGACAGCTACGTGGACTGGTAAAGGTTTACACTAGGTTAAGGGTTCTAGCAAAAATAATTTTCTCTGTCTTCAATTTATCATTCAGCTTGGTGTTGGGTTGTACAGATTTATAGTCATACATAAAAAGGTGATCAACTCCTCAGAATTGTTTTAGGGGTCCAAGGAATAGAGCAGACTTAGAGAAGAAACTCAAGACTGAAAGGAAGGAGATGAAATGATCTCAGAGTAAAGAAACTCATATGGGCTACCTGGTGGCCTAGTGGTTAAGGTAGCTGGATCCCACATGGTTGACCACACAGTTCAAGTCCCAGATCCAGCAGCTTGAGGAACACCCTGGGTGCACGTGTACATATGCCCAAAATACCAAAAGGAGGGAAAGATGGAGGGGAAAGGATTGTGCATGATCATCCACCATGGTGGGGATCATTCTTGCTTTCTCTCCACCTCCTTTCTGCTCTGGCGGCAGAGGAGGGGGGAATATAAGTAAGTAGAAGAAAATAATCAGAAGGAAAACTTCAAGTTTCACATGGATAATGAGTGAAAAAGAAAAAAATGACAAAGAAATGCCACTGATAATCATGATGAAATAGGGAATAAAGGCTTAAAGACATAAAATGAAAAATGAGGAAAGTTATAGTCAAGGAAATATCAATCTAAGTCTGCACCTATAAAATAAAAAATTTATGGACTTGAGTATGAGACTTTAAAAGGGATCTTTAAGTTGCTTCAGGAAATAATTTGTCTTCCTCCAGTTACATCTGGTAGAATCCCTGATATGGCAACTACTGCTTAGAGCAAAGACATTTCCAGCAATTATTGGCCAACCTTTAAACTCTGACTTCTTGGGCCCAATCCAAAATATATCCCAAGCATGTATTATCTTCTGGCACAGTTCAAAGTCATTGGAAAATCTAATAGACTTAGGTTAGTTATCTAAGTAGATGACACAAATTATATATTGCTGACCATTACACCAAGGGTTACCTTTGGGTTGGCCATTGATTTCTGGCCCATTCACCTGGGGCAAGGGTAAGTCAAACTAAGATGTCTCATGGGATGTGGATTTGTCCTTTCCAGGGTCAGGGCAATAGTAAGCACAAAGAAACCTGTATGATATTGACACGCAAAGGAGTGTAATAAGGTTGTGTGTAAACTGTAAAATGCTGGTGATTGAAGACGTGAGCACAGAGGAACTGACTTGGGACTTCAATGTCATGTTCAGCGATAGAGTGGCATACAGAGGTGTCTAATGGCAATGCAAGGGCAATCAGGCACTATGAATGGAATATGCACACAGACCCCTGGGGTCCCAACGTTTCATATGTGAAATACATCACATATGAAACAACTCAACTAGGTGATGGTTATTCCAGTGATTGGATCAAACCCTTGTGCTCTTTTCAAGCAAGGAAACAACTGGAGGGCTAGCCCAGTGGCTAGATCCCACCTGATCAATCACGTGCTTTGAATCCTGGCCTAAGTGACTTGAAATTATGCTCTGTGTGTGTGTGTGTGTGTGTGTGTGTGTGTGTGTGCATATGTGCCTCTAATCCCAGCAGGATGGAGAAATGGAGAAGGGAGGGCAGCATGGTCACGCCCCATTGTGAGGTGCTTTCTTCCTCTCTGTCTCTCTGGCAAGCGCATGTGCACTCTGGCAATTAAAAAATAAATAAATAAATAAATAAACAGAAAGAAGGAAACCACCTGGAAATAAGAAAAATAAGCTTCCATTATGTTTAATCATCTTGTCTAAGGGGTGGGGGAATGTTTCCCCAGCTCAATTCTTTAACTGGAAGCCTGGCACCATGAGTGAGTTGTTAAATTAGCAAGTATGCCAGCACCTTCATTTATTAATTGGTGTGTTCCATTTTAATTAAAATCATCCTAGCTAATTACTCATTTCACTGTGTGCAACAGCAGCTGAATAAGCTGGAGACGTGGTCCAGGCAAAAACAAATGGCACTCTCCAGTTTATTAACTCAGTATTGCTTCACCTTTCCCACGTGGTGATTCAGGGGAAACGTAAATTTACCCTTCTCTTCTTGCCTCACCTTGGAGTACGTGGGTATAGGAAAGAGAATAATGAAGCTCTGCTCATGGGTTTGGATGTTGGCTCTGCTTTTTATGAACTTGTGGTTGTGAGCCAGTATTTAATCTCTCTAACCTTTGAGCTTTCCTATCTAAAAATGAGAATCACAATAGCATTCACTATGTGAAGTGGTGTGAGGATTATAACCCAAGTGAAGGCGGGAAGGTCAAGGTGTGGATGTGAAACTCCGTCATCACCTCCTCTAGACTGCTCACCTGTAGCCTCTACTCAGTGACTACGTCTTTCAGGGTTTCCCTGAGTCCCACATCTGAGTCAGGCAACCCTCCTCTTTGTGTGCATCCTTATCATGTGACTATATTTAAATATGCCGTTTAGTGTGGGTATCCAGCAGGTGCACACATCCCACTGGAAAGCACTTGCCTTTACAGAGTTGAGCAGTCTGGATGGGGGAAATCCACAGACTTTACAAAGCGTCGAGGCTGGAGGGTAGACGTTTTGGAGTGTCTGTCTAGCCGCACTGACCCTTTCTTTGATCACATTTGCAGATTACCAGAAACCTGCCTGGTGACCCACGTTAGACTAAATGGATCTATCTCCAAGGAATTGAGACGCAGGCTTGGAGTTTCTGCTTTTCTCTGTCTGCGTCAGTGAATTCAAATGGTTCTTGTTACGATAAAGACAGGATGCAAAAGAGAAGGCTCCCAGCCTCCTGATTTTAGGGTAGGCTAGCTACCTTTGCTCCTCTTTGCTACACTTCTTGAGGTCAATTTGCTCAGCGCTTTTGTACATTCCCTGAGATCCTTATCTTGCAAATCACTTCTCCTTTTATTTGAGCCAGATTTGAGGTTTAACTAGAACCCGAAACATGGACATCATAAAGCACAATACTAGAAAAAGGAGCAAAACCTCCATCACTAAGTATCCAGCCCTCGAATTGGGGGGCCATGAATGTCACCCAGATTGTAGATTTCAGCCAGGCCAACTCTCAGAAACCAGGCAGGTCTGTGGAGTTTGCATAAATAAGCAGTGTGGAAGGGTGGCTTTCTGCACTGCCAGGGAGGTCAACCATCTACCCAGCAATTAAACCACTGTCAGATTGTAAATACATGTTTCCAAATGCCGCTATAATTGTTCGGAAACAGTTTAGGCCTGTTCACGCAGGGCTAGTTACAGAATGTTAATGGGAAGCTTACTCGACATCTGCTTTCATGGTTGGAGCCAGATTTGTGCCATTTGAACATTTATGGATATAAAGCAGTGAATTGGGGGTGTGCCTCTGCCAACATTCAGAAAATAAAAAACTCCGTGGCAATGCACGGTTGTATGGCTGATTGATGAGCATCACATTTCTATCTAGACACTTATTAAACATGGTTTGGCTTTCTAATAGTCTAATAGCACTCAATGAGATGAGGAAACTGTCATCGTGGAACTGCGGTTCCTTTGCTTTGGCTTGTGCTGGTGGTTAATATCTGAAGCAGACAAATCCCTGCTAACTGTACACATCATACTGTATACGGCGTTGCTAAATACCAAGTCGTAGATCTTAAGGCATAAAATTCAGAATGTTTGTCTTTTTGACTTTCGATGGGGGGCTTGTGTGTGAAATCAGTGGTTTTCTGCCTTCATCAGCTTGAGCCATTTATTGTTCATCCTTACAACTGGTAGGCACATGGGCTTCTCAGATCCCTCAGTTCAGTTGCTCTATAATGATGACTCCCAGACACCATGACCATGCAAGGACATCTTGTGTATGTCACAGAGACCCTATGTTAAGTGTCAGATCATCCTGAATTCTAACTGTAGTACATTAAGTTTGAGTGCATTTCCAGAATAGCCATTTTTTTTTTTTGAGAGAGAGAGAGGCAGATATTTTTGCTTTAGGGCATGTGCACTTGCCAGAGAAGCAGAGAGGCAGAAAGCAAGAAATCACTTCCGGGGGTGGGGGTGAGGGGGGTAGCCACACCACAATCCCTTTTCCTCCCGGGATCTTGGGCATGCACACACATCATGCTCCTGGCGTGAATTTTAAGGTGGCAGGTCTGGGATTTAATCATGGTCAAATACGTCAGAGTCTAGTGATGTAACCACTATGTCATCTGCTGGTCTCCAGAAGAGCCATTTTCAAGTATTAGAATATATTATTTAGAGTTGTAGCTCTGCAATAAAAAGCGACTCCAAGTTACAATAGTAGGAAGATGACACAATGTGATTCTTCTCTCATCTGACAGTCCCCAGGGAACAGTCCAGGTTGATGGGTTGCTTTGTTTCACAGAGTCATGCAGAGCTCCAAGCTCTTACCATCTTCTGGTTCTGCCATTCCTCCAGGAATGGTCCTCTTCTGTACAGTCGAGGGTGGGTTGCAGACGAGTCTACACTGTAGCTCACCGAAAGGAGGAATAGTGGGGCTCCAGGGAAACTGGCTTATCTCTTAAACTGGAGATGATGGCCTACAGAGTCAGTTTCACCCACAATACCTTGGCCTAAAGGAGTCACATGTAATGGCAAGGGATCCTGGCTAATGCTATTTCTACCTGGGGAGCTATGGAGCCAGCATCAACTCGACTGCTATAGAAGAAAGGAAAGGCAGGTTTCAATGACTGGCCGGAAGTTTCTGTCACATGTTAACGACAGAAAACGACACTGCCTCTTACAAATGAGATAAATGCCACAGGGTCATGTATTCAACAAATAAGTTTCTCTGATACCCAGATATTCTTTCTTTTATGGGTAGAACAAATATTGTTAACATGTTGTAGGTAAAATTATGCAATGCTAGAAACATTTTTCCACTTTTGAAAGAATTTTGTTCTTTCAGGAAATAGAAGGCAACTAGAAAAAGCAAGATTTTTTTTTTTTAACCTTCACATTGCAGGAAAAATATTCACACTGTCAAATTCCTGCAGCTGGTATTATTGTTGTTCTGTGGGTAAGCACAAGCAAACATCCCTTGGACAATTCTCTGGATGTGGGTCTCAAAAATCATAACTTGCTTGCTGTATGTTTATGAAAAAAAAACTCTTCACAGGATGAAATTAGATCATCGAGATTAAGTTCAATGTCAAAGGTGGGTTTTTTTCCTAAAACAATTAAGGCAACCAGTATAGCAAAGTTCGCAGTCATTCCCTTGATTAGGTAAGTCATACCGCCTTTAGGATTTGTGTACTCGAAGCAATGGACGATGTAAGGATGGCCAGAGTACACGAAGTGCCTCCGGAAGTAGACATCTGGACATAGGAAGTAATCCAAAGGTACCAGGAACACATCTTTAACTTCGCTGGGATTGGGCTGGGCCTGGAAGTTCTGGTCTATAAATCCTACCACAGGAGTTACTAACGTAGAGCTCTGAAAGCAGAAAACAAAATATGCAAGTTCACGAGTGAAGTGATGTTATTTCAAATGCTAAAATCCTGCTACTTTTATTTTTTTTTAGTTTTGCTATAGGTTGCGTGCGCTCGCAGGAGAGTGAGAGATGGAAAGTGAGAAATCACCTCCCAAGGGGGATGGCCACACTTCAATCCCTTTTCCTCCATTCTCCTCTCAGGATTTTGGGCACACACGCAGCTGGTGTGATTTTCAAACCACTGGATCTGGGACTCAAACCATGAAGTTGACCATGTGAGATCTAGCTGCCTTAATTTCCACACCATCTGCCGCCCCCAAATCCTGCTACTTTTATGTTAAACTAAGAAAAAACACGGGGCTGGCTGGTGGCATGGTGGTTAGGGCACTGGACTTCTACATGGCTATTATTATTTTTTTAATAAATAGTAATAAGTGAAATAAAAATTATTCAAAAAAAAAAAAAAAAAACACATACACCAAAGCAGTCAGTTTCAAAAAGTGGGTGGTTGAGAGGTAAGAAATAAACTGATTTCCCCGGTGAAATGGGGGTAGCATCTGCCCCACCTGTGGTAGTACCTGTGAGATGACTCTGGAAACTTTTGCTTTTGTATTTCATAGTGTGGAATGGCGACTTGACCATCCCGTAAACACGTGGTCCCTTGACCCAGCAATTGCGTTTACATGACTATACCTGTACTGTACATTCCTCCCAGCAAGAAAAAAACGTAAGCCTCACCCATCACTTGCAACAACCCCAAACTCTGAAGTTATTACTCTTCCTGATGGGTGTATTCTTATAAAGGGATACTATGCAGTCTTTCCAAAGAGCATGATACCGTTCTCTCTCAGAATAGGCAAGAATGTACTATCTTATCAACAGGAAAGTGATATAATATTAATTGTGACATATTCCCATGTATGAGAAAATTATTTATGTAGATATATAATTACATACAAATGATTTCCCATAACATGTATGTTTATATTATATGGAGAGGGGTGAATTTCTATTTACAACCATGAAGGCTTGCAATTTTCTTTTTTTTAGAGGTTTTTGCTATAGAGCACATGCATTTACTGGAGAGACAGAAAAAAAAGCAAGAAATCATCCCCAAGGAAGGATGGTCATGTCTGTCTCTTCTGCTCCATTCTCCTCTAGGGATCTTGGGCATGCACACACATGTGCCTAGCGTGAGTTTCAAGCCACCTAGTCCAGAACTCGAGCCTCAGTCAGCCATGTGGGAGCCCAATGCCTTAACCACTATGCTATCTTCTGGCCCCAAGGCTTTCAAATGAATATGCATTATTTTACTGGGAATCTTGACAGAGAGGCCTGGGACTCAGTGTAGGTGGAGGTGATAAGAGTTGCAAGGCCTTAAATTAGAAGTGAGAAGAAGCTGGAGTTCCTGAAGCAACCAAGAGAAAGTGAGTGGGAAAAGCCAGAGACAGTTACACTGTGAGGAAGGACCTGTAGGCCTATAGAAAAGTCTCCAAGGAGGGACAGAGAAAGTGTGTTTAAGGACAGAGACGTCTCAGACCATTAACTGAATTAATGGTGAAAGTCAACTTTTGGATCAGAAAGGGACAGTGGAAACACATGCCTTGGACATCTTTAGGAAATCCAGTGTTGTGTCTTGTCCTGTCGGCAACTCACTACGTGCTCGTGCTGTGTAAATGCCCAGTGTCTGAGGGCTAGAGTGCCCCAGAGGCCACCACCCCTGGGATAGGGATTCAGCTGCAAGTGATTTCTTAAGCAAGTGCTCCCCAGATAAACCAGTAAAGGGGCAGCAGGGAAAGCATGATGGGAGAGGAAGAAGGCAGGCAGGAGTGCGGCAGGAGGTCTGGAGTGCACATGACTCCTCAACCTGACCCAAGTGGCGACAAGGCAGCTGAGCTATCATGCTTCTCGGTGCCAGGTGGGAAATTTGCAGGCACTTCTGGCAGTCTGTGCAGGATGGCTGGCAAGGTGGCTCAGCGGCCGAAGGCCTTAGCCCTTGGAGAAACCTATGACTGTGAGTAAGCAGGAACACTGACCCGGTATGAGAGATGTACGAAGAGGTCTGGACAGACCCCCAACACTGTATGCTCATGACATATTCCAGGTAACTACTGCCGTTAGGGACCACAGTCTCTGGGCACCTGCTCCAGTACCCTGCACCCTCTCTGTGATTCCTCACAAGATTCTGTCCCCCTAAGAAACTTGCACAACTAAGATTAGAAACATGGAAGAAACTTGCCAAGCTCACATCTAGCTAATCCTTGGCAGAAACTGGATTCAACCACAGGCCATGCAAATGCTCCTGAACATGATGTCCTAGAGAGACATAAATGTCACCATGTCTCAAAGAGAATGGTGCCCCAGCCCTGTGCATGGTGTAGGTGCTGCTGTGGGCCATTCTAGCCACATCCCAAATTTAATCATCTCCCAGGGCTAAGTAAGGAGTGTATTCTTATCCTAATAGCAAAGACCAAATCACTGGACAAGTGCTCAGATATGTGACTTAGCATGGCCGGTTCCTGTCCCTAAACTAGCAGGCTGGAGTCTGAGGAACTCACTGGGAAAGATATCAAAGCTTCTCAGGGAGGGACCAGCAGTTAGCATAATGGCTATGTCGCTAGACTCCCACGTAGTCAACCATGGTTCGTGTTCTGGACCCGGAGGCTTAAACTCATGCCAGGTGCATGTGCGTGCGTGCCCAAGATCCTGACAGGAGAATGGAGGAGAAGGAATTGTGGCATGGTCATCCCCCTGGGGGGTGATTTCTCACTTTCTGTCTCTCTGTCTCTATGGCAGGCGCACACACCCTACAGCTAAAACCTCTCAAAAAAAAAAGGAAAAGTATTGATTATTATAACCTATTAATTACACTATAGATAATTCCAAATTTGAAATCAACAACATCTGTAGAATGAGGAGCCAATTATTTGCCACCTGGAAGAGACTAAATAATAGAGATTCAAAGGTATAACATAGCTGATGAAAGATTTTGGTTGCACCCTCATGCCATGAACAATTCCTTTTTTGTCTGGATTCCCATGTGTTCCCACCAGATTCTGTTACAGGTAGTCAGATATGAGCAGAAAGTCCCAAGAAAGAGGGGGAAGGACATCTACCTCATCAATCACTGTTACTAGGGATTGCTGCTAGACCCCCTGATGGCAAGAAATACGTTATCAAGTCTGATTGCTTAAACTGTCATTAAAGGACCTGGAGAAGGTAAATATCTTCCCACTTGCATCCTCCTAGGTATTTGGCCAGTATCTTACCTCCCACTGGAGGCACTAGATAATTATGGGCAAAAAAATCATCACTATGTTCATACATGGTCGACCTTCAAAGTCCACACTGGACATGCATATGGCATCTTCCAACTTTAAAATAAAGATCCCCAGAGCCAGCAGGAAAGAAAGAAAAAGAAAAAAAGAAAAAGAAAAAAGAAAAAAAAGCTTCTCAGGGAGATGCCAGCTTAAAACTGGATGTTTCTGATGGGAAGGTGGGCAAATTCAACATGATTAGTATGGAGAACTAAGAGTGGGCTTTGGAAACTGGTGGACAATGCAGCGCCTTTGGACACATGGTTTCTAAAGACACAGGTATCTGCTTCCTTTTGAACAAAAAGAAAAAACACTAATGGAGTAAAGTCCTTTTACTTCTAGATAAGAACAAAGAGCTTAGAGAGGAAAAGGACTTACGGTCTTAGCTCAGGGCAAAGTCCATATAAGAACCCGGTCTGTTGACCCTGTGTTCAGCACTCCAGGGTTGTGTTTAAACAAACAAGGGGCACAGTTTGTGGATCCACTGGTGCTCACAAGCATCTAGGACAACCCTTACCTCATATAAATATGGTACCAGGCGGCAGACAACCTCCACCTGATGAGGATGAAGTCCTACTTCTTCCTGGGCTTCCCGGAGAGCCGTGGCTATGTCATCCGCATCGGTAGGTTCACACTTCCCTCCAGGGAAGCAAACTTCTCCAGGGGCCTTTCTTAGCTGGAGAGTAAAAGAACAAGCAATCATGTGAGATCCCAATTTTGGAAACTTTCACCCATTCAGCACATTCTGTAAACTTCTGTTTTGTGCCAGAGATCATTCCTGTCCTGGCAGCAGTAAGTGGTGAACAAGAACCACCAACCCCTAAAAAAGGTTTTCACATGAACACTTTTTTTTCTTTTTTCTTTTTCTTTTCTTTTCTTTTTTTTTTTTTTTGGAGAGGTTTTTTTCTATAGGCGCATGTGCTCGCCAGAATAACAGAGAAACAGAGAGATAGAAAGAGAGAAATCACCCCTCAGGGGGGATGGCCATGCCACAATCCCTTCGCCTCCATTCTCCTCTCAGGATCTTGGGCACGCACGCACATGCACCTGGGGTGAGTTTAAGCCACCGGGTCCAGGAATCGAACTGTGGTCGACTACATGGGAGTCCAGCGACATAGCCATTACGCCAACTGCTGGTCCCTCCTTCACATGAACACTTCTAAAAACCTAATTAGAGAATTTCCCTTACTCCTAATTTTTCTCTTCTTGTCCCCAAATGATACTATACATGCACAAACAGATTGACATTCATTGAGGGAGAAAAATAGCTGAAAGAAAGAGTAATGTAAAGGGTAATATTATCAACAGGTAATCTTGTTGAGAGCTTCCCGTATTCTGGTCGTACTGTTTCTCAAGGGTTTTTTTCCATCTTGTTCTCAGGAAAGTTCTATAAATTACTTACTCCATAAGTTTTTTTTTCTTTTTCTTTTTAATTAGGTGAAATTCACATTACAAAAAAAACTAACCATTTTAAAGTGGATATTCAGTGATATTTCATATATTCACAGTGTGGTCTGACCATCCCTGCTATCTCGTTCCAAATCATGTCATCACTCTAAGGGAATCCCATACACAGACAGTGGTTCCCCACTGATCTCTGCCCTCCCTGTCACCGTGCCCACCTTCTGTTTCTGTGGATTTATGTAGTCTTGATATTTTGTGGACATGGAGTTATAGGATGCGTGGCTTTTGTTTCTGGATTCTTTCACTTAGCATAATGTTTGGGGGTTCTTCCAGATGTAGCATGCATCTGTACTTTGCTCTTTTCATGGCTGACAGCATCCCACTGTCTGCGCATGTGACAGTTGGCATGACTATCCATTTGGCGATGGGCATGTAAACTGCTATGGGCACTGTTTGCCATGAGATCTCAGGCTCAAAGACATTCAGAACCCGACCAGGCTCACACAAGGACAGGGAGTATAAAGCAGTGTTTCATTCTAGAGCCTGTGTCCTTCCTGCGCTCAGCACGTACTTACTGAGACACTAAAACTCAGACCATATGGGCACAAGGGCCCTAGCAGTGACCTGTGTTGGCATCTGTGTTTCTTTGCACACGTATGTAGGGAACAGTGGTCCCCTTCCCTGTGTGGCCCCTTCCTGCCCATGTCCTTGATTCCATTTCTTCCTAAATGTAGGAGAAACTGGTTGTATCAGCCTAAATGGTTCTCCTTTTCTTTATTTTTGTCTAAAATGATGTCTCTCCTATCTTGGGTGGTGATGGGGGACACTCTTCTCTCCACTCCTCTCTCTTCTTCAGGACCAAACTTCTCACCAACTTCTTTTATGCCCACTCCAGCACAGCGGCCACTATCCTTTTCTACCGAACTGTCAAGGAGACCTCAGGCCCAGCAAGACTCCTAGCTCTGCCTCTTCCCACTGTTCACAAGGCAGGTAATAGCAGTGTACGCTTCCAGAGTTATGAAGACGGTAGCTGTGTGTGCTAAGGCTGAAGCACGTGGGACATTTCTGGCTCATGTGAAATGTTTAATAACGAAAACTCGTAAGGCCAGTTCTTGTTGTTTAGAAGCTGCATTAATAGGTCCCTGGGCTAGCCCCATAGCACAGTGGGTCAGCTCTGTGCTTAGGGAGTTGAATCCCACATGGCCGACCACAGTTTGACTCCTGGCCCCAGCAACTTGGAAAACACTTCTGGACTGTGTGTGTGCATGCTCTAAACCCTGATGGGAAGGACAAACAGAGGAGAAAGGACTCCTGTTCCTACCACCTTGAACACTCAACACCCACCCAAAGTGGCCACACCCTATTGCGGAGGGAGGCTCTCTCTTGGTCCTTCAGATGAGCACACACGCCCTCTGGCAATTAGAAAAAAGAGATCATGTTAGTAGTTTTAGCACTTGGGCTGACACATCTGTGGAAGGACAAGCTAGATACATGTTATGCTCTGATGTTTGGGTACCGTAACATTCATATATTGAAATCCTCATCCACAACGTAATGGTGGGGCCTTTGGGAGGTGGCTAGGTCATGGGGACAGAGCCCTCATGATTAATGTCCTTAGAAAAGAGATCCCGAGACCCCTCGTCCCTTCTGCCCTGAGGACATAATGAAGTAAGAAGGTGAATCCACAGCAGACACTGTGTCTGCCACACCTTGGGCTTGGTCTCCCGGCCACTAGACTGTGCAAAGTAAATCTCTGAGGCTTATGGGCCACTTGGTCCATGGTATTTGTTATAGCAACTTGAAGGAACTAAGACGGTGCCGTTATAAACTTTTCAGCATTTACAGTTGAAAGCCCCATTTGGGGCTGAAGAACAAAATACACCGTCAAGTTCCTGTCTGCTGACAAAATCAGGAACACTGCAGGAAGTGGCACGAAGCGTAAATCCTTACACATCTTCATATCAGTTATAGCTACGAGGGCAGGTGAAGACAAAGCGCCGGACATGTTTCTGTCCTCTCCAACACTCACCACCCGCCAAAACTGCATCTCACAAAATTCAGCCAAAGACAGAGCCGACATCACTTCACCCACTGAAAAAGTACTTCACTGTTAGCCAGTCGGACTCCAAACCAGCCAGTGACAGAGATCCGGGGAAATTATGGAGGCATCAGGCTTGACAGAAATGCAAATCTGATTTAAGGACTATTTTAAATGTATTCTGAATGCTTTTCAAAAAGATCTCATAGCTCACCAATTCAATTAAAGTTGCCTTATATACCCGTTCCAATGACTGACCATGTGGGATTAGTGAAAACTCTACTCTTAAGAAAATGTTACATTGTTTGGAAGAAAATAGACACACTTCTAAAATGGACTCCTCCAACACTAACAGTAGCAAAAAGGACCCTAACTAAGCTAACTAAGCACAGCAGCTTTCCATCTTTATTTTTTAAAATAGTGTAAACTTCTTATTAAATAAAACCTTATGAAAATTCTACGCAGAAGCTGAATAAGGATGCAGCCTTCTTTTCTAAAATATTAAGCTGCATTTTGTTCTTGAATTTTCTCGGGCCTATCTCAAGCCCCAGAGAGCATGACGCAGAGAGGGGAGCAGGGAAAAGGGGGGAAGGGAAAGAAGTGGAGTGAGGAGAGGAGGGTAGAGCCACCCAGAGCAGCTGAGCCCTGAAAGCCACCGGGATGTCGGCTGTGAAGGGTTGCAGGTCTGTGCCAGGCAACCACGGGGTTACCCTGTTGGGCACCAGGGCTCTCATGCCCTGAGAAGAGTCCCTTACCCAAGGCAGGCCCTGACAAGGAGAGAGTGAGAACCTACGGGACACCGAGCATCATGGAGCACTGAAGGCATACCAGTGGTGGGACCCAACAGCGCACGAGGGTCTTGGACTCTCAGAACAGCCCTACACGTTGTGGCGTGGCCACCCCCTGGGGAGTGATCTCTTACTTTCTCTGTCTCTCTCCAGTGAGTGCATGTGCCCGATTGCAGAAAATCTCTTAAAAACAAACAAACAAAAAACACTTGCTAGCTAAATTCCTTAATTTTCTTTCCAAAATCTCCCCTCCCCACAAAACCATGTTATCCTATGACTTCCTGTACCCCTCCCACATCACAGTTTTGGAAATCCTCTGGAGACCTGTGCTGTAAAATGGGTGTGAGTGACAACACGTCATGGTGTTCCAAAGGTCCTGAAATTCCATGGCAGGAGCCACTTTATCCACCTACCTTCTCTGACCGGAGAGTAAACAATAGATGGAGTTTTCCTTCTTTAACCAACAACGGAACCAGGACGGAGTATTTGTTAGGCAACAAATGGGAATATTTGGTCCCAACATCGTACTTTTCCAGGCGAGCTCTAGCAGTATCTACCACACTGTTTCTGAAATGGAAACAAACCAAACATCTCAGCAACTGGAGTGGTGGTGAAAAGCTCTGAGTCCTGCCTGTTCTCCTTTGCTGTGTATCTTTTTCTTTAAGTTCATGGATTTCTTTCATGAGCAGTAGAGAGAGAGAGAGAAAACCCCCTGCAGGGCCCTGAGGCTATGATACACACCCCTCTCCAGCAGCTCTGGGTTCTGGGCATTGCATGCCTGGTATACTCAGGTGGCCTTTGGAACTGGAACCTTCCCGTGTGGGCTGGCTTCTGAGAGCATGGTGTTTTACTGTTGTCCCATTGTGTGGCCCCTGTTGTGTACCCTGAGGTGTACCATTTCTGTGAGCCTATTTTTTTTTTTTTAATAAATAGCATGGCAGAAATAGTAATGCCTCCATTGCGTGGTTGTTGGCAACACTTAACAAGGAAGAAAGAACCCTGCTCAGTACTGTTCAGTACATAGATCCACGGTGAAACATAAATGAAACGTAAAGTAAAACACTGCTGAGACAGCCAACAAAAAGTTAGACCTGGCTCTTCCGCCCTGTTTCAAACCCTATGTCTTCACTTTATAACAGGGTCCCCAAACTTTACATCAACAAAATCGCCTGGAGGGCTGGGGACAACAAAGCTGGTGGGCCTCCAGGATTATAACTCAGTAACTTTGGGGTGAAGACTGAGAACTGGCATTCATCTTCAAACCCCTGGGGGGATACTTCTGATACTGTAAATCAGGGAACACGTATTGAAAACCATGACCCGACGGCCACGTATGTCCACTTACCACTGCCCTTTGCACTTTGCATGTGGATTTATTATGGTCCTTCTGACAAATGAATTTCATCGCTGGTTTGTGTTTATGAAGGCTGATTAGTGTTTCCCAACACTCAGATCCACCCAGAATCTCAGAACGTGACATGAGCCACAAATAGGATCTTTGCAGATGTGATGACTAAGGGTCTTGGGATGGAATCACCCTGGGTTTAGAATGTACCCTAAATCCAGTGACTGGGGTCCTTGTAAGAGGACAGGACACAGGGAGATGCTCACAGGGCACCATGCGAGGGTGCAGGGAGATCGGAGCCATGTTGCCACAAG